GCTTCAGTAAGCCACCGGATTTCACCGGACCAAAAGCAATTTTTATATTCAAATTAACAAAAATAATTTAATAATACATAATTCTATTAATCATTATTAAAATTAAATAGAATTACTACAATGTTTTTAGCATATTAAATCAAGTAAATATTTCATTTAGCTTGCTCGTTAAAATCCATACAATTTCGTAAGCCAACAATCCAAGCACGACAAATAGCCCGACCGATAGATCGAATTGATCGATTAGTCCTATTATTCTAGTTATGTGGTTTGGAGCAAGGGGAGACATTACTGAAAATAATTAAAAGTTGAAAAAATTGAGGTTCTTTGCATATCCCTGCTTCAACCCATAAGAAGGTGTTGTATGCTGGTAAATAGGCCTCCCTTGTATTAAACTATATTATTTAAAATACATGGTTTATTTTTTGGAAGCTGATGAATTAAAACGTTTTTATTTATGAATATTTGTTGTTTAATTGTTTAGTCCAAAAAATATAGTAATTTTATTTTTACAATGACAAGTTTACTTATAGATTTAGAAATCTAATCTTTGGGTTTGCGGGATATTATAAATGAACGTACCTTATCAGCCCATCCCCGTTCGCTCGCTGTTTGTTATTACATGCTGAGTCTTATGTTCAATTCCTATTTAATTTTCGATCTCGATGCAGAGATCCTCTTTATCTGTGGGTTGCATCGCTGAGGAATTTTTTGTTTTTGACTAATTGATTTTAACAATTAGAGTTAGGTTAGTAAAAATCTTTTATTTATTTATTTGATTTTGATATCCGATTCGGTTGTTGCGGTCGGTTCGTTATCACTCTTCAATCATGTCTGGATTTGGATTGCGATTACATTTTATTTTATTACGATTACATTGATGTTTTCATCAAATTGCCTCCCCCTGTAAAAATGTTGGGTCTCCCGGTGAAAATTAAAACATTTATCGATGATAAACTTTTGTTATAAATTCCACCCCGCCGGCCGTCAATAACAATTTTGTTGAAAATATCACCCCAAGTCATCAAATATTGCCTCTATAAGTCTATATGGATATTATATTATATATATTAAATTTACATTACAGATTACATTATTACAGATTGTTAATTCCTGAATGCCAATGATGTCTTCAAAAGAAATTTATGCTGACTTCAATTTCATCACTCAAAGATATTTAACTACTAACCTGGGTCATAAGAATCCAACCGTCGAAACTTCAGTTGTTGATATTTCTTCTCCAAATGATTTTGTAGGAAAAACTCCAAGCAATGGAAATAATATTCATAAACGTACAAAATCAACAAAGTTGTACACATGTGAGATATGCAAAGCAGTATTTTTAAAACAAAAAACCTATCTGGCTCATATGAAGAAACACGATGAAAGGATGAATAATCCAAAGTGTCAGCTATGCAGAACTGAATTTTCATCATTTGATGAGTATTGTGCTCATAATGTCACCTACCATGGGCCTCAAACAAAATTTGTCTGTAATATTTGCAAAGGTCGATTTCTTATGGAGATAATCCTTCTGGCTCACCAAGAAACTTGCAGCAAGAAGGGTGATAAAAAATATGAAAGGAACAATGATGATAGTAATGTAGAAGTTGGTGTGTGTGAGCAGTATGTTGATGAATTGGAAATTGATTGTGAAAATGAATTGTCATCAAGTTCAATGTCAAATTTAAATTATAACAAAAATGGAAACAAAAACTCTAAAGATTTCCTTGGAAAGAACCATCTTAAAAGAAAAATTAAAACTCATCCTCCTATTAAGAAAAAAATTGAAGGGAGCAAGTTTTCAATTAACAATAAGAAGGAGAATGATAATAAAAAAGAAGCAAGCAACAAGTTGTGCCTGACACGTGGTGAAGTTTTCGACTCATCTTGCCAATACTCGCAGCACCTGCAAACACACACTGCACATGAAAGTATTAATGAACCAGAAAACATGTTTGCATGTGAAACTTGCTACAATTTGTTCAAGACTCGCAAAGAATACATGGATCACTTGAAATCTCACAAAAATGGTAATGATGTTCAGGATGATGATGGCGCTACCAACAACCCCAGTAACTCTTCCATCAATAACTCCCCTAATATTTCAAAAAACATTTCATCCAACAATAGAAGGTGCACACTATGTCTCAGAACTTTCAGTTCAACTTGGAACTATTTACAACACATAAAAGTACATGAAAAACAAGTTAAATTTATTGAAAGTATAAAAAAAAAGATGAGTGAAGAAACCTTGCTTTATGCCAGTAAAAGTTCAAATGATACACTTATGCCGAACTTTGAGTCATGCACTATCTGTCCTCATTGTGGTAAGAACTTCAAGTCTGCGTGGAAATGCTTCCATCACATTGCAACACACAGTGAATCTTCCATCAATCCATCCAATAACATCTGTCCGAATTGCAATAAAACATTTGATCATTTGTGGAATTTCTACCAGCACCTCTTGGTGCATGCTAAATATTCTAAAGGCAATTCAACTCTACATAACATATTCTCTACGAACGTTTCCAGCAACAACAACAACAGCAACAATGACAACAACAACAGCAGCAACGACAACAACAACAACAGCTGCAACAATACACGCAAGGTATGCAAGAAACCATACAACACAAGTAGGAATTACTTGCAGCACATGAAGGCACATTCAATGAAGTTTAGATGCAAGTTATGTGGGAGCCAACAAGAGTCAGAGTACAAATGCACTCAACATGTTCTGAGCCATTTAAAGATCAATTCTTTCAGGTTTCTATTTTTGTAGTTATTTTTTTTAAATTTTTTAATAAACTTTTATTACTGAAAAATTATTTTGTTTTATTTTATTTATTATGCCATGTTTGGTCAGTTGTATTTTTGTGTAAACACTGATAAATATTTTTTGTAAACACCACATGATTAGGATGATTACTTGATTAAACACCATTTTGCAGCACTGACAAACCTGTAGCAATTATTATTATTCAAGATAAAATTACGATCATCAGATGTCAGGTCTGCAACAAAACTTTTAACTCAAAGAATCACGTTGTCAGTCATTGCCTCGGTCACAGGAGGGTCCAGCGTTACAGCTGCCAGCAATGCAACATGAAGTTTGCTGTCATAGCTGATAAGCTGGAGCACGAAAAGATCAACAACTGCTCTAATGCTTTGTATGATGAAAATAGGTCCGTTTTTATTGTTGGTTTGAATGTATGAATGGATGGATGGATGGATGAATGAAAGACTAAATGAACAATTGAATGAACGACAACTGAATGAATGAATTTAAGAAGTTATTGGCACGAATTTAGCTGGCCTCATACATGAAAATTTTAACCTTTAATTACTTTATTTTATAAATGAATGAATGTAACAAAAATGAATGTTATAATTTGTTAACCTTTAAAATTTATTATAACATATCTTATTAGTATTGTAATCAATCAATCTTCGTTTAGCATCTTATTAGCATTGTAGTTAGTAGTAATTACTTTTTTCATTCAAACTTTTAATTTAGGTCATTGTGGGTTGTCCATGAATATGACAAAGATCTAGTCTCAAGTTATATTGAAAGGTTGCCAAGAAACAAAAGTGTTAAAAATAATTCTACAGAAAGTGGACTTGAAGATGGAAATGGACTTGGAAATAATTCTACTACTGGACTTGAAGATGAAGATAAAGAAGAAGAAGAAGAAAATGAAGAAGAAGATGAAGACAGTAGTGATGTTGGGGTGCTATCAAACACTGCTGAAAAGTGTGGTGAAAGACTGGAAAAAAATGGTGCAGTTTGCAAGATTGGCGTTCACAGGCTACGTACCAAGTCCAATAAAATTGATTTGGGGGCAGAGAGCAGTGATGACGAAATAATTGCTGAAACTCCATGTTCGTCAATAACATCTTCACCCAGAAAAATTTTAAAAAATAATTTGTCAAATAAGTCAATGAACAAAACTTCAAGATCAAAGAATTCACCAAACGAAATATTAGAATCAAATCCTTCATCTCCACCTAAAAAACGACAGTTTATAAGTTATTATTTGCGTAAGAGTGAATCAATTAATAGAGAGCTATTGAAATGTCCACTATGTCAGTTCAGGTCATTATTGGAGCAAGATATGACCAATCACATTGAGAGTCATCTGCATCTCAGGTTCTACAGGTGCAAAGTTTGTTCTGATAGGTTTGACAGTTCTATGAGTTTCAATGTACACTTGAAAGCTAAAAAGTGTTTTACCATTGATGAAACTTCTCTTCAGGAAGATAAGTTAGTCAAGATTAATTAGTTAATTGATTAATTGATTGATTGATTCATTCATTCATTCGTTCTTTGAATATTTTTTTTAAATAAATCAAAATTCAGAAATGACTCTATTCATTATGAATTTTTAATTTAATTTTTCAAATGGATTTTAATTTTATTTTTCAAATGGAAGAATGGAATTGTTTGATGGAAATGTCGAAGTCAGTCACTATGTTGGACGCCAACTCGGTGATGAAGTATGTCTCACAGATCTCCACACAAGTCTTAGCAATCAAAGGAACAATGAAAATGTGAATGGCATCATTAGTAATGAAAATGATGATGGCGAGAATCAAAAAATTAAAGAAAATGTCGATGAGGGAAATATAATTGAGGAATCACAGTGCAAGGATGGTGACACTCGTTTAACCGGGATTGAAAACATTATCCCCACAAACTCAGATACACCTGGTAAGTGTAATGATTTTGTTATCAGTACTAATGTTTGGGATAGTGATGCTGAGGACATCAACAAAAATGGCAGCAATGTGGAAATGAAACAGGATCTTCCAGGTGCTGATCAGAATGATAAATGTCATAATGTAGCACCTCATAAAGGTTCAGTTGTTTAACAAGAATTAAAATTTTTTTCAAAAATATATTTACGCTACTACTATGTATTACTGTAAATTTTTATAGGTTCAGTTTTAGAGTCATTAATCCAAAAAATATCCCAATCGCAAATTAATCGGGAAAAGGAGGTGAAGACATCCGCTGACCAGCTTCCGCCTGCAACAACAACAGCAACTAATCCAACAACAGCAACCACTACTCCAGCATCCTCATTGACTTCAGACGAAGCCGCAGATCCAACTCATGGCAGTGTCAGAAGAAACGACCTCAACGACGTTGTAACTCGTCTTGATCATCTTGATGACGAGTCCCTCATCAAACGAGCGTGCACCACACCACTCTCTCTAAAAAGATTCATTGATGTGAAGGATGTCGAATGCAGAATGGTCAATGGATTGCCAGAAAATAGATGGAAACGTTTAGTGTTGATGGCTTCCAAAAAGGATTTGAATGAGAAAAAGGCCTTTAATTCGTCTGAGAACTGTAAAGTGAATGCAACTATAAAGTAAGATGTTGGTGAAAAATCAATTAAATGTTCAAATGAAAGTTTTAAAACATTGTACTAATAATTTAAATGTTGCCTAAGTTTATCATAAATCAGCAATACATTTGCATTTTAGTTTTAACATTTAATGTTTATTAAGACCTCTCAAGAAAAAGTATGGGTGTTTAAAGCGCAAGGCAGTCAAAAATAAAGATGAAATGTTTGAATGTGAAATTTGTCACAAAACCTACACAACGGCTTATTATCTCAGGATTCATGCAAAGTGGCACAAATTAACAAATGTTTGTTTCAATTCTTTATACTTTTCACCTTATTCTAACCTTTTTGTTTTGAAACTGTTCATTATTGGTATTATTATTATATATAAAGAAGTGAACAAAATTACTTTGCAGCCAAAATCATGTTCCTACTGTACGAAGAGATTTGACGATGACTCTGAACTCCACGAACACCTGATGCTGCATGCTAAAGATTACCCTCATAAATGTAGCACATGCGATAAGATGTTTAAGAAAAAAGTTCGTTTTTTTTCTTATGTAATGTCGGTTATAGATGCTAAAACATTATTATTATTATACATATTCTTATTGTTTATTATCATTTTAAAACTGATAATTAACAGTTTTAGTTCAATAATAATACCAATAATACAATACTTAAATTAATTTATGATTAGTCTTTTTTTCAGATTGCACACTACATACTAAACATTTGCATGCCGACACACACGTACACGACAGGTCTACCTGAAGTGCCACATGAGATTGCACACAGGAGAAAAACCGTACAAGTGTAAATTTTGTGACAAGGGGTTCAGGGTCTGCAGTTCCCTGGCTGACCACTTGAAGGTGAGAACGGGGAAGATGGATGTACATGTGAATGTTCAATGATGTACATCTGCTTGTTTGAATATTCATTGTATGTCGATGTAATCACAGAGTTCAGTAAATTATGCACAATTATCTTAGGATAAATGATATTACAAAAATATATTATAAATAAACTAAAACTACTTTTAGCACATTGTGATGTTATATTTTTACTAATGCATTTAATTACATGAATTTACGAAACATTGTTATTATTATTATTTTTATTATCATTTTTATTATTATAAGGTGCACACAGGCAAGAGACCCTACCAGTGTTCGTTCTGCAACAAAAAGTTTGCCCAGCGAGCAAACTGGATCACTCATGAGAAGAGGCACATGGGTTGCAAGGAGTTCTTTTGCGAGGTACGTTAAATTATTTATCGACTAATTGGCTGTCTGCTTGATTGAATAGCTGTTTGATGGAATTCTCAATCACCTTTAACAATGGTTGACTGGATGATTGTTTTTTTTAAAGTGGACTCGAATCTGAAATGTTGAAACTGTAATTGTTATTTAGTTTGTTGAAAGATCTAATAATTTTTAGATTAAGTTGTATTGTTTTGGATGATTAATGTTATATTCTTTTTTTTATTTATTTTTTTCATAAAACTTTAAAAATTATTTTAATTTAAATGAAATCCAGAACTGCAAGAAAGGGTTCATACAAAACTTTGAACTGCAGACACATAGGTTGAGGTGTGTTACGAAAGAATTCAAATACGAATGCCGAATGTGTGACATGAAGTTGGTCTTATTGCTCTTACATCTTCTTTTATTTTTTTTATCAATTGTTTTCTAAAAGTTTTTAATTGATATATATAGAAGCTTATGTCAGTTAATCTATTAGTTTAATCTATTTAATCTATTATTCATTTTATCTATCTATCTTGTTATCTATTTACAATCTATTTAACTTAATCTGTTTTTATAGTTGGTTAACTACGATGTTGCAAATATTTGCAGATTTACCAAGGAAAACCCTTTTAAGCTTCATTGCAGTAGGCATTGTTGCATTATTTGTGGTGAACTATTTCACAATATGAGAGAAAAAGTGTTGCATCAAGTCAGGTGCAGACGAAACGGCAAAACCAACACCACCAAAAAACCGTCCACCAAATTGAAGGGCAGAGCTGCCGCGTTGTACAAGGAGTTTGAAATGATATCGTCAGATGACGATGATGATGAAGATGAAGAAGATGATGATAGCATGACGTGACTGATTAAAAAGTTAATGTTGTTAAACAATGAATGTAATTAACAGGCTGGTTAAAAATCTGACGAAAATTGTTCAAGAAAAAGAATGATACCATGGATATATATCCATGAATGATACTGATGTGATCGACGGTGTTGTCGATGATAACTATTTAAACTAACTATATAAAAAAAGAAATTATTCGTTAAATTTCAATAGTTTTTTAATAATTTTTTCAATAATTTTGTTGACTTGCTAGCTCCATTTATCAGCGCTCGCTAATAATTATAACAATTTTTTAATCATTTAACTTGTAAACACGAAAAATCTTTTTTATGGACGTTGTGATATAACGTTGTATGGTATAAGAATTTTTTTTTATGATCGCCTGCCTTGTGTATGTGGCGTTTTAGAACATGTCCTACAGTCGTCTGTGAATAAATGATCGAAATTCTTGTTGAACGCTTTCGTGTTGATATAGGACGTGCCTGTCTATATTTGAACCAACGGGTAACGTCGCACAATAAATTCAAATTTATTATTTTATTTAAAATAAATAATTTTCAAAAAATTTATTTTCAAAAATTCGGTAGAATTTATGGAATACTGATTAAATGTGAAATGTGGTCCCCCATACACACGTTTATAAATAAATATATAATGGGTTGCAAGTGAAAAGATTTTACTGTGTGTTTGTGTGTATTATTTTTGAAACGATACATCGACTTGTACTTTTTTAATGCACCACGGTGATACTCGTGCATGGATATATATATATATAATATATTATATCCATGTATTGGTGTAGTATAAAAAATTAAACTTACTAAACATTTTATTTGATAAAAAGTGAAGTTCAAACATTACACTAATCTGGTTTACGAGTTTTTTTTTTAAAGTGAACTAATGATGATGGGCAGCGACGTTACTGAAGTCTCGAGGAGCAGAATATTTGGTGGCTACCAATGTGTCTACTCCCATGACAGGTGCCTCTCATCACAATAACCATTGCCTTATTATTCATTCAAAAATTTCTTATTAATTTTGTTTTGTCACTATTTCTTTTTATTGCTTGATTTCGAATAAAAACCAAAACGAAAACCAGGACTACTAAAACTAAATATAACAGCTAAACAAGCCAACGGAATAAAATGTCATGCAATTTTTTATTTTTATTCATGCAAACAAGATGCGTACAATAATTTTTTTAACAAATTTGTATCTAGTTAAAAAACTTTTTTCTATACATACTATTTATCTGTGTGTGCGTTTTATGCTTTATTAGTCTATTATCTTAATCAACCAATCAATCAATCTTCGTTTTGCGTCCAGTGACCCGGTTTCCCGAGGTAGGACGTAGTCTATTATCTTAATAATGCTGATCTATTTCTAATACAAATACTTAATTCATACAATTATAATAAATACAAATATGTTATTTTAGCTTTCTTTAAATTGATAGTTATACCACTGTAACATAAATTCTTAATAATAAAAGTAAGAAATTCATGTTTTTTCCAGCAAAGAGCTCAAATGTAAAGCCCACTTTTCTATTTACTTCCCCCCAAGTTATGATGAACAAGCCGATGAAAGGCTTCCTGTGATTTATTGGCTTTCTGGTTCGTGCAAATATGAAATGAGTTCATGTTTCTACAATAATTTTCAAAAGTTTATTTGTTAAGTTAAACTTTAAAGAAATAAAAAAAAGTTATATCTATCAATCAATCAACCAAATTTATGAGTAATGTAAATAATTTTTCTCTGTTTTGAAGGACTGACATGCACTGAGCAGAATTTTATTCAAAAATCAGGTGCTCAGAGATATGCCTCTGAGCATGGTGTCATCATCGTTGGACCTGACACAAGCCCAAGTGGGTTCACTTTGTTGTTGTTTTTATTATTATTATTATAATATTATTTTTATATATTCTGCTATTCATCTGTAATTATTTGAACACCTTATTTGTAAGTTATTTTTGGTCTTAGCCTGGGTAATGAGTAAAGTGAGTGAAAAGGTTTTATTTTAATTATGCTGTTCTGTTATTTGTTCATTAATTAAGACATGTTTAATCTTTTCTCTGTTATATTTATTAATTGAATTTATTTAATATGCCATCTAAAATTTTTATTCACTAAATCTGTAGCATTTTATTCTTCCTGCAATTTTTATCATCATCTTTCAATTATATATTTCTTTTTCAGGAAATTGCAAAATTGAAGGTGATTCTGAATGCTGGGATTTTGGAGTGGGTGCAGGATTTTATGTGGATGCAACAGAACCAAAATGGAAGGAACATTACAGAATGTACTCTTATGTCACAAAAGAGGTCCAACATCTCATCTGGCTTCAGTTTATTCAAAAAAATTTTTTGTCAAGTCCTCTCTCTCTCTCTCTCTCTCTCTCTCTCTCTCTCTCTCTCTCTTTCTCTCTCTCTTTTTCTCCTATCTCTCTCTCTCTGTCTCTGCTTATTACATTCTGATTAATTAAGCTGGATAAAACAACGATAAGGAGAATAGTTTATTTGGATCGTAATATAAATTGAAGCATTGTTGATCAGTAATAAAAATTTGACAGCTTCCTGCTTTGATTGGAAGCACTTTCAGGATTGACCTCAGCAGGCAATCAATCATGGGACACAGGTATATTATTAAAGATTCCACATCTACTAAACATTGTTTGTTATAAGCTGTCAAAAATAAAGACTTCAAATGAAAGAGTCTTAAAATTATTTCTAATAAAATTTATATAACTGTCTGTGTACCATTAACTTTGTTTGTGAAGCATGGGAGGGCATGGGGCATTGATATGTTACTTGAAAAATCCTGGCAAGTACAAAAGTGTTTCAGTATTTGCTCCCATCTGCAATCCTTCCAAATGTCCCTGGGGTCAGAAAGCTTTCAAAGGATATTTGGGCAGTGATGAAACTACTTGGGAGGTTTTTATGCCATTAAATATATATTTTGTCTTCACTTGATTCATTCATTATTGTGAAATAATTGTTCGTCATTGCTTAACGCTAGTCTTTCTATTTTGGATTGATTTAGTGAAAGTTTCATAAGATGATGCAACTTTTGACAGACAAATTTTCAGTAAATATTATGAACTAGATAATTTGTTATGAAGAACGTTTCACATGACCAACGGCGCCCAACAGTGAACTTATTTATTAAATGATCTCCAGGCATATGACGCCTGCTCACTTGCCAAACACTACAAGGGCCCTATTAACAACATACTAATTGATCAGGTCTGTACATCTACTTTTTTAAAATTTCTTTGTTCAAAACATTCTTCTGGCTGATAAATAAATGGAGAGAAAGCGGTTTACTATAATGACGATCGATTGTCTACGTAAGTTTCAAATAAAATCAAATATGATTTCTTATTGACAGGGTTTGAGTGATGAGTTTCTGGGGAAGAATCAACTGTTGCCCGACAACTTTGTTGTATCTTGTGCTGAATCAAAAATACCTATCATTTTAAGAAAGCACGAGGTGAACAAATACTTGAAGCATGCATATGGTATCGTGTAGATTAACATTTGTAACAAGTGTTTAATGCTAAGTTTCAATTGTTATGATTTGCAGGGCTACGATCACAGCTACTTCTTCATCTCAACGTTCATTGGAGAACATGTTGCACATCACGCAAAATTTCTTAAATGTTGAACTTTTCCTTGATAACTTGATTTGTTAAATTACTTGAAATGTCATTAATTATATAATTTTTTTGATTGATTGATTGATATATGTAATGAAGCAGTTTATTTAAATATTAATAACAACTTTTAAGCACAACATTTCGAAAACCACCAACAACTTACCAGCTGTGCTAATTTTATTAGATTGTTGAACATATTTAAATTTTCAAGATTGTTGTTGTAATCGTGAATAAATTAATGCAAGCGCGCTTACTGTCAGTTGTTTTTATTTTGCATTGCAAGAATTACATGCTGCGTTCATGTATGTATGCATTTCTGTGTGCGCTTATATGCTTTCAACAAAACACTTATTATTTCCAAGGTCTTATGAAGTAACGCCTTGTCAGCTACTATATATATGTTATATGTATACGAGAGTATAGTATTTTATGCATATGGCTGCAACGTTCAGAAAAATGTTTATGATCCCGTCATAAAAAGTCAAATCTTTTGTTAGTACCCACTAGAGTCTCAAAACTCTGCAGATTTTGTTTGTGCGGTTTGCCTCGGATTCAATTGCTCTATTTAAAAAGCCGCCTGCAAAATAAAATTTTTAAAAATTTTTGGAATAAAAAATTTTGTTTTGACGTTTGTTTGCACATATGTTTGCGGCATGATGGTCTAATGGTTAAGGTCGCCTGGTGCTGTTTCGCAGTAACCGGGTTTGATTATGATGACCTATCACGCTTCGTTTGTGATGCGTCGTTTGGCATGTATTCATATACGATGTTTGTGCGCTTTGTTAAATCCTCTGAACTTTGGATGTATGTGTATTTAATGGCTACAGCTGAGACTCTCTGGGGTCCACGTTGATAAAGCCAAGCGAGCAGCTTCTACTTATTGCTTCAGCAGATTTGAATTAATAAAGTTTAGTTGGCTTACTTACGAAATTGCATGGGTTTTAACAAACAACTAATACAAAAGATTTACTTGACTAAAAAATATTTTTAAAACAATGCAATTAAATCGAGTTATTTAATTTAAAATTATCGTTGTCAATTTAAATAAAAATATAGCTTTTTGTTTAGAAAACAGTGGCTTACTGAAGCCATGTTGTGCTTACTTACGAAATTTCAACAACTAATACTAAATATAAATTTGACTCAATTTGTTTAAAACATTGTACTTAAATCGAACTATGTAATTTGAAATTATTTTTGTCAATTTAAATGAGAATATTGCTCTTTGAAAATATTGCTCTTTGTTTCGAAAACACGGTGGCTAACCTACCGCTTAACAAGGCCATAGATTAGCTTACCTACGAAATTGCAATATTTTCATTAAAATTGACAAAATTAATTTCAAATTACTTAATTCAAGGTTTATTGGTTAATTAGTTGATTGTTTGATTGGTTAGTTAAATGATTGATTGATTGTTTGGTCAGTCAGTTGATTTGACCCAGCGGTTGATTAATTGATTTATTTGTTAATTGATAGTACAGTATCAAACAGTAATTGAAAATAAAATGAATAAAGACACATCTTTCAAAAATTTTAAAAATTCTCAATTCTCAACTTATAAAATAGGATGGGCAAATGACGTCATGTTAACAGTAGTTATTTAACTGTTTGTTAGTGAATTAGCCGGTATACCTAAAGGTTATATTCAATTCCTATAAAATAAATTTGACCAAATATCATACGCAGGCAAAACTAAATGAAGAAATAGATAGATATATGTAGTTATAATATATTTTAATATAAAAGCGCTTATAATACAAATCTACGCATTTGGCTCAGCTTGGCTTGGCATTGGATGTTAAGCAAGGTGTGATTTCAAACTATTAAATTCTCCCCGACAAATTTGAACTGCGTGCGAAATATTATATTTTCACATTCAAATTTTACAATTGTGTTATGGTGTAGTCTCAAATTATTTTGAGTTCTCTCTCAGAAAAATTAAATTTTTTTTACTATATGCTAGATACTTTTATCAATAATTAAAAAAAATTTCAATTCGATTTCATCGCCATATCGATGATGATTGTGGCCTGACTGGTAAAAAGATGTCAGGCTACGTTCATTCATTCAATGGCAAAGAACACACGCCTGGCTGGGATACGTTTTATTCTTTTTTCTCTGTTTTTCTCTGTAATTTAACATTAAGTAAGAATGCCCACACGCACAAACACACACACAATTACATTAAGTAGCTATATAGGTAGATTAGATAGGCATAATTTTAATTGTAGGTAGGCTAGATAGAAAGCATCCAACACTAATGTTAGTTGAATAGGTAGGCAGCGTAAGTTTATCGCTTCTATTTTTTTCTTGCACCCACATTACACGCATCAGTATATTACACACAGACACACGCAAGTACATACATAAACACATATGTTAATATTTGAGCGTAATTTTATTTTCATTACACATTCTAATTTATTATTACTAAGGTTGAGAGTAATTTAATTTCACAGGTAGTTAAGGGCAACAATGTAATTCGGGAACAATCTTGTAATGTAAATTAAAACGCTGTAAGTGTATCGATAGGTAGGTTAATTATTTAGTTTTATATTATTATTATTATGTTGGAGCCAAAGGCATTACGTAGGTGGTGGGGTGGGTGCCGAAAAGGCCAATGAATTGGGCTCTTGAGTTATGTAATTTTAGGTAAGCTAGGGCCGTAATGTAATGAATAGTTAAGTTAAGGCTACGTTGTAACACACACTCATTAATAGATTAAGGGTTTAAGTTTTATATTATTATTATTAGGTTGGAGCCCAAGGCATTACGTAGGTAATGGAGTGCCGAAAGGCCAATGAATTGGGCTCTTGAGTTTTATAATTTTAGATAAGCTAGGACTTTCTTTGCACGCATAACAAGTCATCCAAATGCTTTTCATCTCAAATAGTTTGACAAATTAAAAACTAAATAGTGTGTATGTGCTATGATTTAATTATCAGCTATCAACCAACATCAATGCTGACCAAGATTATTGTCCCAACTGCAAACAAGACGTGATAAGTTGAATGACGAAAATATCAGAAAAATAATAAACGCGCTATGACAATTGTTTTCGATACGTATTAACATGGATGTAATATAAGCAGCCATGCCTATTAAAACTGTAATGAAGCAAGCTAATTCACAAGAGCACATAAATACGTACACATGAAAAAAAATGCATTTGAAAAAAACTTAATTTTGTACAAAAATACTGCTCTAGCTAAACTTTTATGCAGATCCCGTCTGAAAATATTTTAGCATGACAAACATTACAATTATGTTTAATCTTTAGAACTACAGTTGTCATGTGATTGTAAGACCTTTTTGAAAAGTGAAGTACTCAACAATTTTTCTAATGAAACCTGCATTAGTACGTTTAAGCGAAATGAATTCGCATATTAAAATGTATTAATTTCATCAAAAAATCTGCTTGATATGGTCGTTTAATAGTTTTAAAATGAAAAGCATACAAAATAAATAAAAATCCGATTATCAATAGAAAAATTTAGATTTAAATAAAAAAAGATCAAAAAATTACTTTTATACTGACGTCAAACTAGAAAGTAATAAAACGAATGGAAAATAAAACAGGAATGTAATTTCATTTTCCTTAGTTACCATAGATATGTCTAGCCTATACCTTCAAAGTTTTTTGTCACATTACGTTGGCCATTTAAAAAAACTGGAGAGTTGTTAGAATGCAAAAGAGATATCTACCATCCATAGGCGTGAAAACTCTATAAGATCCTATATCCTATCTTATCAAATCAATACTTATATGTAATCATATGACAAAATTTAAGATTTTTCGCATGATAAAGATATCTTACACTAGCAGGGTAAGATCCAGCCTACGGTCGTGAATAGTTATGTTTATTTTCCAATGAATTAAATATATTAGCATAAAATTAAAATTGCGATAAACTTCAGCAAGATATTAAATCAGACTTTCTGTATCTATGGCGAACATACATTTCGAACTTATAAGTTATTATTCTAAGAAGTAATATTTCATTCCGTTACTTTAACTTTCTAAAGTTTAACACGGCATTTTTTTTCAAAGAAATAATTCAGCTTACAAACAGTTCCAAACCAGTCGCGTGCTTCTTCAATTTTCATAAAGCCGAATGACACAAAAAGTTTTGGATGAAATAAAAATTCGGAATAAAGGTTACACTGAGCCACCGGCTACAAATTTTTTGACACGAAACATTTTATATGATTAGTTTAATAAGGGACAAAAAATTGAAAAGATACGTGAAATGAAAACTTACAAAATAATACCACAAAAAGCTTTCACCCAAAATAAAAAGAAATATCTCTTCCATTAAAACGATTGGCTGGTAGACGCCGATTCATAATGGACGCAAATTAAAATTATTTGAAAGCAGTGAAAAATATTGAAGCCAAATATTATATATACACACACACACACACACACACACACACACACACACACACATATATATATATATGTGTGTGTGTGTGTGTGTGTGTGTGTGTGGTCAATTTCATTACAAAGTTTTACAAAATTATAAAATATTTAAATTTTTCTGACTTAACTTATATGATCTCAATTGGATCACTGATCATGAATTTATTGAATAAAAAAAACGTTACATCAATAAAATATGACAGCGTAACATCAATACTTTGAAGTGAAAACAAATTAACATATATATAACCATTAAATAATGATCTTATTAATTTGAAAAATGGATTTATTTTGCCAAAGTGCATTTATGAAATCACGAAAAAATTATCTAAAAAAAACCAAAGATAATTTTGAAACCTGTCTAGAAAATAAACTAAAATGTAGCAACAATACTGACACGTAGAATACATCCTTGTACTGTACATACATGTAAGCCAATTTAAGTTAAAAAAAAAAGATGTTAATCGTTTTTTAATTGTAACTTTAATTAATTGTAATTGTTAACAAGCTTACATGATATACTTCAATTTTGATTTACAATAAAATATGATATAAACGTAATAAAATATTATGATATGATGACGAAATATGACAAAAAAGATCATGTTCTAGTTTTAATCAGTTTAACATTTAATAAAAACAACAAATAGAACCTTCGCTAACAAATACAAATTTTTCTTCTAACTATGCTAGAATGAAAAATCAAACCAATGCAATCAATGCTCTTAGTTATTTGAGACAGACAGAAGAGAGAGAGACAGACAGACAGATGAGCAAAGACAGACAGAAGAGAGAGAGAGAGAGAGAGAGAGAGAGAGAGAGAGAGAGAGAGACAACTAATTGATCAGTAACAGAAAAATAAACTATGACTAAAACTATATGATCAGCATCACCAGACTAGAAATAAAAATTTGTTCCATTTGTCATTGTTTTGAATGGATGTAAATCTTCACTCGAATAATAATTTGCGCGTAAAATTAAAAATTAGTTCGTGTAATAATAATAATAATAATTTTAAAAAGTCATCGGATGAAGTAATTAGAAATAATTAATGAGGTAATTATAAAATTTGTAGCATGGACAACATTCAACTAGACGGTAATTAGATACTTTTACATAATGTAGACTGATTAAGTTAAAATTCTTTGTAGTAAATTTATAAAAATTGCTTGGTACGAAAGAAAAAAAAAATTTAATAAAAATGAGATGGTTCAAAAAAAGTTACAAAAATTAAAAAATGAAATTAAACAAAAACTTATAATATCCCTTTAACTCTCATTACTGATGTGAAATATCGTTTTCTTAACTAAATTATGACTTGTGTTACTTAATATGCTTAAAAAATTTTGTGCTTCTCTTGCATGTTCAGGAATGGTACTGTTAACACTAGAAAGACTATGTACAGAGGTTTACAGGGCTGGACTGGATTATAGAGCAGTGTTCGTGGTTGAGGAGAGGTCTCCAAAGATGAGGACAGGGAAGTATTTGATGTGGGTTTGCCATTGGCTGGACACCTGGAAGAACTTTATTCCAGACCAATCCACTCCGTCAATGGTCACTGCAAATTAGCATCAGTTTCAATTTTTATTAACGGCTAACAGACGGATTTAACTTTTAAATTATCTAATATTATAAATTTTTAATCTATTTGATGTTGTAAAATATAAGAAATTTAAAAAAAAATGGCAAGTGAGATGGATTACCATTGAGAGGATGATTTTGAGATCTGGATGTGCAGATAAGTCTGCTGATGCCATCTATCTGCTGACTCTTGTTCAACTCAGATTCTTTCGATCTTTTGCCTATGCGCATGACTGAGAATGTTTGAAGTTTAATTTTGATTCCAATGTTGGATGGAGAGTTCATTTAAACGATAGGAAAATTGAAAATGTTGAAAATCACTTTTTTGCTTTTTCTCCCTCGTGACGACGACCATGGACAGCCCTGCATTTGAGCCCCCTGCCAGCAAACTACCATCACCGGACAGCTGCAAACCGGAATTACGAAAAATTTTAACTGACCGAAACATCATCTTCAATGAACATTTCAAATCTTTTTTACTCAAGAACTTTCCACTTGCAGAGCTTGTAATGTTGGTAAGCAGATCTGATTTCAGATCACTGTTGAAGAGATTTGTTGGCAAGTTAGATGTTGCATTCGATGATTGGCTGGATGTGCCAGACATGAGCCAGTAGTCAACCTGCAAGTTGAAAGCGTCGATGTTCTGTGCTGCTGTTGTTGTAGATGACGCAGTTGTTGTGGTTGTTGGAGTGCTCAGGAAGTTGTTGCTTTCAGGCGGCGTGTGACTGGCGACAAATATTAATCAACAACATTATATTAATTAAATATGAAACGTATGCAATCCAAAAAAACTTGAAAAACAGTAAAAACAAATCTAAAAATATTTTTAAAACACCAGAAATCATCTAGCCAGAAAATATACTAGAATGAGCAAAAATAAAACTGACGAGATGTTCTCCTTTACTTTGTCCATGTTGGTCATGTGGCTGATCATGTGACTTGATTGAGGTGGACTGTTGGACAGACTGGCATTTGCGTTCGAAGTCTCATCGTAATCTGAATAAATGGTTGGAATAACTGAACTGTGAAGAAAAAAAATTTCCAAATAAAGATTAAGTTACAAAAAACAAACAAACAAACCAATGAGTGAAAGAAGAGAATACAAACAAACAAACCAATGAGAGAAGAAAAAATATTAGAAGTGTTGCCGACATCCATGACTCCGAGTCTGACCTCACCAAGAAATGGAACAATCAAATGCGAGCTGTCATCAATGCTGTTAAATGTATTTTATTGTACTACAAGTTATTTAGCTGAACACGATATAAACAATTTGTAAGTAATATAAAAATATAAAATAAAATTAAATATTCACAATAAAAGTTGATATTTAAGAAATTATACAAACACAAAATAATAGAACAGCAAAACTATTAAAGAAAGAAATTTTTGAAGATTTCCAAGCATGATTTGTAAATATCAAAAAGATTTAAAAGTTTTATACAGTTTGTAAACACAATTTGTTTGATAAAACTTTACAAAGGCTATTGCAAAACCAAAAAACAGAAAGATAATAGAAGCAGATGCTGAAATGAACATATACCCCTTATCTTTATTAGTTAGGATGGCTTCAGAGAGAGGCAGTTGAATCATGTGTCTGGCATTGTTCAAGTACTTTACAATCCTGGTGGCAACTTCACCTATATCTGAAATTGCATTAACTTACAATTATAATCTACACAAATTAACATCACTAGTTACTGAATTAACATCACAGGCATAACATCATAGTTACTGAAGTTGGATATCTTGCTCAAACAGTAAATTTATCAAATCATGGAATTAATTAAAACAAGCAGTCAACTTCAAAGTCTGATGTCAAACTTTTCACACACTGCTGCGACACAACCTTCACACGCTGTGGCACTGCCCGGAAGATAACCCGACAACAACAACAACAACCCACCCATCGATTGGTTAAATCGGTTTGAGAAATCAAATCTTTCAAAGACATTGTCCTTCCAGGCCGAATCGTTGAAGAGCCCTGCATACCTGTTGTCGATGCTGGACAAGTTCTTGCCTATTATGCTGGGACCTGGACATGATGTCATCAGTTATCAATGAATGCTCTAATGAAGATAAAATATTATCATCAAAACTCTTGAATATTTACAACATCTGATGATAAAATTATAAAACATTCCAAACAACATATTTACAAATTAAGATGACTATTCGTGATATTAGACAATCCCAACTAATAATAGATATTTTTGCTTTAACAATTAGAAACTTTAAAATTAAAGCATTGAACAAAGTAATAAAAAAGAAGAAAACGAACCGAGAGGAACCACAAGGAACCTTATGTAATTGATCCAGTCAGATGATTTGTTGGAGAAGAGTTCAACATATGGACGAAGAACAGAGCTGATGTACTTATCTCCCCCAACAATGGCAACCTTTATTGGTAGCTCCTGGGTCAGACTTTTGTTTGTGCTGTCGATAGTTCAGCAAGATTGTATAAACAAATTGGATGGTAAAATGCAAACCGAAAATTTTTTTAAATATAAACTATTTTATTTCAAATATACGGTATGAATAAAGAAATGTATAGCAGATGAATTACCATTTTTGAATTTTGGAAGCAATGGTAGAGACAATGGTTCGCACTTCGGATGGTGAACAAGTGCAAATTGTACGATGTTTCGTGCTCTGCAGAGCTTGTGCCAGCAACTGTCAGATACATTAATGAAATGACATTTGATTAAAACATCACTAATCAATAAATAGCAGGATCTAATTCAAGCATTTATAAACAGAGATCCAGCAGATAACATTAAAACATTACAAACCTCAACTCATTACTGCAATAAAATGACAAAGGATGAAAACGAACAACAAAAGTTGAAGATGAACAATAACAAAAGATGGAGTGAACGATGAAGTGAACCAGCCTGTCCGTGCCATTCAAGACTGTTGACCATGACGATGACTTCGGGCGAGTTATGGTCACATGACAAGATGGACGACATCTGCTCCATGAAAATGCGACGGGGCTGTTTGAGGTGAATGACATTTTTGGATTATTGATTTTCGTGAACAACCTAATTTTATTCTTAACAAATTATCGTTGATTGACACATGACGTCGTATCTCAAAAATTTTTAACTATTTTTCAGCAAAACAGATCAGATGGAAACTGATTCCCACAAAATAATTAGTTGGACCATGTCTCAAGATCGATGCCTCCGTCATTAGAAAGCAAACGAAAAGTGAATTTGAAAAATGTTGAAAAGAGAGGAAACCCTTTCCAGTCAACATTTCTCAATTAAGGATAACTCTGTTGCGTATTGAAATACATTTGCATAGGCAAGAGAATACCATCAATTGTATGGGCTAGTTACACACTGCACCACAATAAACAAGCAAGCACGATTACCTAATATACATCCTAAAAAATTCACAAACACATTTCAAACGTGACTGGTTAAAAATATGTACAACGTTAAATGTTATAAAATTTTCTATTAAAAAATTTATAACAAAAAATGTGGAAACTGATGTTAATTTAAAAACAAACAAACAAAAAAAAACTACTGCATGTTAGTGGCAACATAAGTACAGAGAAACGAAATATGAACTGAAATAATAGAAGCAATGAAGTAAAAGCCATACTCACAAGCACTTCACATGCGCTAGTGCTGCATCTACGAGATTGTTTGTTATTGTTATTATCTTTATTGAAACTACTGGCAGTATTGTTATAATTATTATTGTAACTATACTCAACATTGTTGTAAATGTTGTTGACGCATTTGTTGTTATTACTCATTAAATACATCTTATCAGCAAACGAACTACTCCTGTTTCTATTTTTGGGAGTTTTAAAGAACGCCGGTGGTGAAAAAATTGCCGAAAATTGTTTGCTTGTTTTTCTGCGCACTGGAGTAAATGCATCATTTGGAATGTTGGATTGGTTTGCAGTGCTGCTGTTGCTGATGATGTTGTTGGTGTTGTTGTTCATTATGTTCAAACCGTTACGATCTATTTTCCCATTCTCCTAAAACATATTTAGCAATGAAAACGTAAGAAGAAATAAAAAAATTCAACTAAACTGTAAATTAAAATATTATGGACACGCACAAAAAAAATGTTAAAACAAAATTATTTGACAGATGTAGCTGAAGGACATTAAAATTTGTTAAGTAACAGCTAAATTAGAATAAAAATAACACACAAATTAAAAATGAGAAAAAAATAACTTATAAACAAATGTTACGACAAAAACCCTTCAATCCAGAAAATATAAAAACAACGTAACGACGAAAGCACGCATGATTCATTGACACGAATCAAAAATTTAGCAGCGGCGTTACCATGCCAGCTATGTTAACCTGGTTTGTGTCATCAGATTTCTTCAGACCCATCTCATCAACCGACCAATCATGCTGCAATGGACAATGGACAGTTAACATTTTAAAAATTTGTCAATCTGTATCAATGAATAACATTCATCTGCTAGCAACAGAAAGTGTTTGTTGCAAAGAAAAAAATCAAATAATTGAACAAAATATTTTTTTAAACAAAATTGTAAGCCAGTAACAGCGCAGTAACAATGCGTCAGTCTCTTGCTAATGCTATGTTATAAATATTATGCATTCGAAAGTTAACAAGTTTAATTCGTGCACCTGAAAAAATTAAAAACAACAAAGCAAAAAAAATTAGTAAAGAAATTAAAAAACGAATAAATATGAATATGGCTCTCGACTGCATACATTGTTCCTTCTATCATCCAGGCAGGTGTTGCTCCCGCCACGACCAGAGAAGAATGGTCTGCATGTTGGAAACACGTAGCATAAATTATGTAGGTATACACGTATGTCACAATTATGCTGCAAAATATGTTACACCCAACTGGATGGTGAGTGTTACATAAATGCAGATGAACATCACAATTACATACATAAACGTAATATCAATATTACAGAAAGATTATAAATATTATAAATTTATTTCATCGTCATCTTCATCTGCTACATATAAACCTCGGAAATTATTAGTTAATTAACTAATTAATTAAAATCAGCGCGATTGATTACATATAGGTCAGGGGAGCATAGGTCGATGATAGACTATATATTGGTAAGGGCCAAACATAGGAAGTATGTGAAAAATGTGAAGGCGATACCTGGTATGCTGCAGCATAGTATGGTTGTGATGGATGTGACATCAAAAGAAATGGGAAGGAGGAAGAAGGATAAGTTTGTGGCAAAGAGAAAGACATGGAAGTTGCAGGATGCAGAGGTGAGGAAGGCATTTGAAGTGAAGGTGGCTGAAAATTGGGAGAGTGGTAAGGATGGAGATGTTTGGGAGAGATACAGGGACTGTGTGTTGGCTACGGCAGATAAAATATGTGGATGGACGAAAGGAAAGTGTAGGCATGGTGAGACGTGGTGGTGGGATGAAGATATAAGAAGGGTTTTGGAGGTCAAGAAGGAGAGGTTTAGGGTATGGAGAAGGGACATGACGGAAGAAGCGGAGTTTGAGTATAAGAAGGCTAAGAAGGTTGCAAAACAGGCAGTGGCAACTGCAATGACGAAAGCATCAGATAGGTTAATGAAGGAAATGGAATTTGATGTGAGTTCGAGAAAAATGTTCAAAGTAGCAAAGCAGTCAATGAGGGATAGGAAAGATGTTATAGGGAATGGATGTGTTTGGGATGGATCTGGCAAGTTGTGCATAGATGAGAAGGAAAAAGCTCAGGTGTGGAAAGCTCATATGGAAAGGTTGATGAATGAAGAGAATGAGTGGGATGGAGATGTGGAATCCGCGGTCACACACGGACCTATTGAGAAGGTGACGATGGAGGAAGTAGAGAAAGGAGTTAGAGAAATGAAACTAGCTAAAGCGACAGGGGTTTCGGAAGTGGCGGCAGAACATATAAAAGCGAGTGGGGTGATAGGAATTGAAGTTATGATGAGAATTGCTAACAGTATGTTTGATGATGAAGGTATACCTGAGGATTGGCGACACAGTGTGTTGGTGCCGTTGTATAAGGGCAAAGGAGATGTGAGAGATTGTGGGTCATATAGGGGTGTGAAATTGCTAGAGAACGGAATGAAGGTAGTGGAGAGGGTGCTTGAGAGGAGGTTGAGAAATATGGTGACAAAGGTGAGGGTTGGAAGGGGGATGTCGGACGCTTTTAGTGTTAAGGTAGGAGTGCATCAAGGATCAGTGTTATCACCGTTTCTGTTTGCAATTGTGATGGAAGTTGTGTGTGGAAACATAATGGAGGGGTTGTTATTTGAGATTTTGTATGCAGATGATTTAGTCTTGATGGCTGATAGCATGGAAGAACTGCAGTTAAAATTTGACAGATGGAAAAGTGTTATTGAAAAGAAAGGGTTAAAAGTTAATATTGGTAAGACGAAGGTAATGGTGAGTGGGAAAGGTGAGGAGCGAGTGATAAGTAAAATAGACCCTGTGGGGTATGTGACAGGAGAGTGAAGGCTAACTCGGTATTGTGTATAGGATGTCAGAAATGGGTGCATAGGAGATGTAGTGGTGTGAGGGGGGCACTGAAAAAGGTGGAAGGCACGTTCAAATGTAAGAAATGTGTTCATGGTGTTATTAATAGGAAGGACGCAAGGACGGGGTTGAGTGGTGGTATTGAAAGAGTGGAAAGCTTTGTTTACTTAGGGGATAAGCTGAACGCGGATGTTTGAGCGCAGTTACGGCTAGAGTTCGTATAAGATGGATGAAATTTAGGGAACTGGGTGGGGTATTGTGTGGAAAGAAATGGTCAGTGAAGATGAAAGGGAGGGTATATAAAGCATGTGTGAGAGCAGCGATGGTATATGGTGGTGAAACTTGGGTGTTGAGGAGAGAGGAGGAAAGTGTACTGCAGAGGGCTGAAAGAGCTATGGTGAGGATGATGTGTGGGATTAAAGTGAAGGATAGGAGGAGTAGTACAGAGCTGATGTCAATGATGGGACTGAATGAGGACATTGTGACATTGATAAGGAGATCGAGATTGCGATGGTATGGACATGTGTTGAGAAGGGGTGAAAGGGTCGGGATTAGGCGAGCGTTGGAGTTCGAGGTTGAAGGAGTGGTAGGAAGGGGTCGTCCGCGATTGGGATGGAGAGAGCAGGTGGAGAAGGACAGGGTGAAAGCGGGGTTGCGTGATACTGAGGCGAGTGACAGATGTGGATGGCGTCGAGGGGTATTTCGGTTTCATCATAGGTAGCCAAACGGCAACCCCCGATCTCGGGGAAAATGTCGTCTAAACGTGTGTTGTTGTTTGTTTTAACTAATTAATTAATACATTTAATTAGCTGATGTCAGGTTGTGCTCAAATTAATATCAATAATAAAACTACCTCAAAACAAAAGCATTATTAGGAAAGATATCCCAGAACCACGAAAACTGCATTCATTCAGTTATTCATTCACTACTAACTCAATCCATTCACTGATACACCCACAAACTTTAAAATTTATAAACAGAAGAGCTCGCCAAAAACCACCCACGGACCTTAGCTTTGGTTTGGGTGTCGACCTAACACTGAGCGCGTCAATGTCTGGATCGCTTTCGGAAAGGTTCTCTACATCTTCAAACAAATCATCGACGTTGTCGTCATCTCTTCTTATCTCATTATCTCCGCCGAGGTCCTGAACAGCTGATTCCAAAACCTGGCGATCAGTTTAATTGGTTGGCTCAGTAAGTGCACGAGTGAATAATTATATACTCATATCAGTTCGCAAAATGAAATGTTTTACAAATTTAGATAATTGAAAATCGAATTTTAAAATTTTAAAACGATTTTAAAAATCATCTGTTAACGTGCAAAATTGATTAAAATCAGTGGAAAATAAATACATAAAAAATACGTTAAAGTATATTCAGAACAATCAAACGATTTATAATAATTAGTTCTCCTGACAAAGAAGACTGCTTGAATGAGAAAATGAACCAATTTAGATAAGAGAACAAATAGGAAATAAATTATTGAAATAATATTTTGAAGAAAAAAAAACTGAATAGCTACCTCTTCAGAAACTTTAAATCTCTTCAACAAAGCTGCAAACTTCTCTTTGAAATTTCTCTGTTGCTAAAATTCAATCAAAATTTATAAACTGCAAACTATGATAACAACGATGCCAAAAAAGTTTGAAATGTCAGCAAGCATTCAAAAAAGCACTTGAAAAAATAAAAATAATTCAATTTGTCTTTTTGATTAAGATATTTTCAAGTAAAACAAAACCTCATTTTCATAATATAGCAATAAACAAGTGCAGAAATACATAGATGAATGTATTTCCATACGCTAATAATTCATCTGGATGAAGAAAGTGAAAAGTGATTTATAAATTGAAATCTCACCCTGATCATAAATCTATCCCTGGCCTTCCTCGTCTTTCTCATCACCGGATTGTTGTCATCATCGGCGGTCATCATCATCTCGACATCGCTGGTGTCATCGTTGGAGGAGTACTCATCATGTATCACATCGTCGTCATCTGACATCTCACCGGGCGAACGATCTTCAATAATTACAATGATTACACTTACAATGATTACACTTACAATGATTACAGAGACAATGATCACAATTATTACACTTACAATGAGTACACTGACAACAAATGATGATACAGTGATGGCGGTGACGATGAAAATGATGAAGTTGACACTAACGTTAATTAATAACCTGATGAAAATGATAATGAATGCTGGCTGGCGGATGATAAATTACCATGAGTTTTTAATTAAGAGTAAGATAAAACTATTTAATGAATTAAAAGGTAGGAAATGAGAGCAAAGTATAAGGCTGAAAAAAAATTAATAAACATCAACCAATATAAAAATTAACGTCTGCTATCCATTATTCCGTAATCGTCATCATACATTCGTCATCATCATCACAATCATCGTCATCATCATTCTCCCCAAGACATCATCACCAGCATGACTGTGAGCTGTCATCATCACAATCACAAAATACAAATAGACCTCATCAATAATTTAAATACCAATCTAATTATTTTCACAGTATTACCATGATGAAACAATAAAAACTTCCTCATCATAGTCCCTCTTCTCATCTTTTTTGTGATTATCATCAACCTTTTCGACGTCATTGTCAAAACAAAAATAACCTATCATCACCACTATCCATTTGACAATCAGACAAACTCAATCTTCCTCATCCTTACATCATCATCATCCTCATCATCATTAATTTCAAAAAAACATACCACAGATCATCTCACGATCTGACCTGATAAACTCAGTCATCCATCTCCTTATCATCCTCACCATCATCGTCATCATCATCCTCATTGTCATAATCCTCATCATCATTGTCATCATTATTATTATCATCCTCATCTTATCTTCATCATCATAACGAACCAGCATCAGTCGAGACAATCTGCCTCCTATTAATCACGTGATCGACGGGTTGACTAGAAAGTGACATCATCATCACCATGGCAACGGGGTTGGCGCTCTCTTTGCTGTCCTCTGGAAAGAGTTTGAGTTCCTGGTCGCACGAATGCTGCAGGATGTGACTCATGTTCACCTTGCCGGATGCCAACGTCTGTGGCAGAGATGATCAACTTCATTTTTAGCTTTAAAATATTCAGAAATATTTGTTCCACTAATCCAAAGTGAACGATGATTGTCAGTAATTAAGTTGAATTATTAACATTTGATACACATTAATTAGCTGGAGAGCAAAGCAAAGCCAACACATTATCAAGCATTCTCAATCAACATTTGTTGCAATATATTTTTGGGACTACTTGAAACTCTGAAATATATATACAGCCATTTACCAATGAAAATAATTTTCAAACTGAGGATTACAACTATTGATTCTATATAAACTGCTATCTACATATAAAAAAGTTGACATCAACGAAAATGAATACAATAATCCTCAAAATTAACATCAAAGAGAGCATAAAATATTCTTTAGCATTCAGTCGTAAGATTAACTTGGTCCAAAAAATTATTCTTAAGAGATAAAACACAGAAATGAAAGGCCACAGTACTCAAAATCATCCTTATAAAATTTCAATCTGATAACATTCAACAAAACTCACATGTGAAGATGCGAACGTGCGTGATGAAATTATTTCTCATCAGCATTATTTCAATACTTAACACGCATTTTATTAAATGTATATTAAATTATTTTCAACTGATATTTATCAATAAGGCAGTCATAATTTTCATTCCAGCGGTAAACAAATTTTAAAAAGTTAAAAAACAACAAATAAACCAAAAAAACTTAATTATCAAATGAATGAATGAAAGAATAAATGAATTAATAAAGGATGGATTAAAGCAAGGTTTAACTATCAAATAAAATGAATGAATGAATGAACCAAAAAACCAAAATTCAATGACGAAGAAAAAACTAAACAAACAAAAACATAAAATAATATAAGACAAAACAGACCTTATACCCTGGCATAGCTCTGTTCTTGTACTTCTTCCTTCTTTGGATTAAAATTTGCAGATAGTTGCAATCTCTCTTCAAAAAATGTGGATACTAAAAGAAAATTTCAGTTTTTATATTGAAAAATCCAACCAACACTCACTCCTACAGTTATTTATGTAAATATTTGCATAACTTATACAAATTATTACATCGGCAGGTGGATGACACGCAAATAAAGTGTTGCCCATTTAAAAGTCATCAACTCATCAAACTTGAACATGACACCGAAATAAAGAGTTGCCTATTTTAAGGTTAATAACTTATTAAACTTGAGGTAGCAGTAGAGAGGTGCCAACAACCATAATATAACGGAATATAATGAATGATGATGCTTAATCATAGGATGAGTGACGTAATTTGATCACTTGTGGTTGACTGACCTACAGATGCACCTCTTACACAATATATTCATCATTCATTCCTTTAGTCAACATTCATGCATTTATTTATTTATTCATGCGTTTATTTCATTGATTCGTCACATTACAGGATGACGTTGTCATAGTTATATTATATCCCATTACAATATAACCATTCATTCATTCATTCACTCACTCGCTCATTCATTCAATCTATAAAAAGACAATGAAAACGGCAATAAATAATTAATAATGATGATGCACAATGATTTGAACAAGTCGATATTAATAAAAGTGGATGGTTATATGGTAATGGGCTGATATCATTTTGTAAATGTATATATATGTGTGTGTGAGTGAGTGTGTGTTTTGTGTGATATACAATGATCAATGATACAATTTTACCTGCAGTGAAAATGATAGATCCAGTTCAGTATCAAGCATTCCACTGGCTGGAATTTGAATCTCGTTTGATCTGAGCACCCTCTTGGCACCCTTTACAAATTCATCATTTAGAAAAATATAATTTGACAGATATATTGGATAGATGTTTATACAAATAACAAGACGGGCAGATGCGGGAGATATAGGAACATATAGTTATAAATAGATAGATGGATATAAATAGATATATGGATGGATATATGGATAAATATAAAGGCATATATTCCAATTGACGGAAAGGAAGATAAAAAAGATAAAAAAAGAAGAATAGAGACACCAGTGAATAAAGGCACAGGTAGGTGGAGACAGATGAATGAATCATTGTGTGGACCAAAAAAGTAATTGATGGATGAATAAGAGAAAAATTGATATCATACGCTTACATAGTTATATAGCCATCGGCAAACAATTTTTTAAAAAAATTAATTGGATAAACATTTTCGATAACTTTGAAAGAGAAATGCCTATTTTCAGACATACACGTAACCATTACACAGACTATTCAAATCATTTAAAGTCAAGAAAAAAACTGATTGACTGACAGGAGGAAAAAAGAACACATCAAAGAAAATTGCTTTCTCAAAAAAAAGCTATAAAGAGAAGTAAAAAAAATTTCCATTTGACATCATCTATCATGCTCTTCATCAATCTTTGTTCCCACAAAATATACACACCCATGAAAAGAAATATGAAATAAAACACTCATAAACACACACACACACGCAGACACAGAAACACACAATACACCGCACACGACATACACACATATATGTATATGTATACCACATGTATACATAAACACAGATACTACCACACACATACATTCGCAAAAGCATTCATAACTACTTACAAACATAGCAAATAACACATACTTATACAAATGTAAAAACATAATTCTACTCTAAAAGTTTATATCAAAGTTTATTCACTGTACAATTTATTAAAAACAACCATTGCATATCCAACGGCAGTAACAACATCCATAATAAAACTGCCAAACAATTACAGATATCAATGAAAAATATTGCAGTAATGGGATTAATATTGGTATTCTTTGTGTCTTTGAGTAGGTCCGCGTTACTACCAACATATATTGTCTACATAAATAAGACCTCGCAATGTGATGATTAACAATAAATACGCTGTACCAGCGAGTACCGATAATACCTACCGCACTGTACAATGCCTAAGATGGATTGGTTATGTGTGATAGATGGGGTTCAATAATTACGCACTGCTGACGATGCTGACTCAGTAGCAGCAGTGCATTTGTGTCTTTTTAAATCGAAACATAAGCAAAATAGATACGGACAACTAGAGAACAAAAACCGCATTGTTATGTTTTGTTGCACCACCACTACTAGAGTAGCTGGCAATGAAAACCTGCTTGTCCAACAGTTTTTAATACACATATAAAATATAGATATGAAAACAAACCCAAACATTTGGTTTGCATGACACCTTCATAATAATCAATACAACACACACATACGCGCACACACACACACACACACACACACACACACACACACACACAAACAAACACAGACTGATGCACATGCACACACAAATATGAGTACATATTGCAGAAACCAACTAGGATGAATTGAATACTATTATAGAAGAGATTTTTAATGCTACAAAGTGGAAGTTAACCAAGGGATGTTAATATTTTCCTGCAATCAGCTCCTATCAAATGTATTCCGGTGCTGCAAAAATATCAATGTTTCTTTTCGTTGATGGAAAAAATTATATCGGGTTCATGTGAATGTTTGCACAAGTGCGTGCGTGCATTTCATGTTTGCGCCTACACGGTGTAGTGCAATGAAAACGTGCATGAAATATCCTACATGCATATATATGTTAAAACCAAAACATGATGAGTGACACTGAACCGTCAAACATCAAGTAACAAATGGATTAACACTTTGATTTGTCGTTAATTGCACATGTCGGCATTCAGTTGGATATTTTCAGGCACACAGACACGCAGGAACCGCTGCAACAAGCACGAAATGTGGTTAGTTGCGAAAAACAGTTCCCTGCTGTCGCCTGATCTGACGCTGATCATTTTACATATTGCCTTAAGAAATTTAAGGGTGTTGGGGTCCATCGGGCTGAGAACCTCGATACATATGTACATATACATATGTATGCATGTATGTACGTACCATGTGATGTCAACACAATATTTTATATGTACTGTGTACAACATAAATTATATAACCTTTCTAATTGATATTCCATTATGTCAGCTTTTACCCTTAATGTTTGATCTATGTTCAACGTGCTTTAGAAGATGACCACATAACGCTAGGTAAAAGATTTTAATTCAAAAATTAATAACTTGCTTTCCATTCCACAAAGTAACCCTTTAAATTAAAAACTAATTGACTTAAATTTCTGAATACAGGAAATATCTAAAAAAATTCAACAAATAAAGAGGATGGCGAAAGAAAGAGAGGAGAGAGAGAGAGCTGGAAGGCAGAAAAGAACAAGGTCAAGGAAAATAAGTTACAGTATTAGTAAGTGAATTTGGTCTGAAACAATTAATGAGAATGGATGATGCAATCACAATAGCAATTCTCCAAGGGCAGGTCCATGTGAAAAAATAATCTCTTTGAAGAAGAATTACAGGCACTTTATACTTTACTTATGTACCCTGTGTACAACATCAACAACTACAACAACAACGCATGCATGTGCACGCTTCGTTTACTAAGTTATCATTCTCAATAACAACACTGCTCATTTTTTCTTTATGTTCTATTTAATAAAAAATTTGCTAAAAGAAAGGTCTGTTTAAATAGAAAATGTATTAAAACATTTCAAATTATATATATATATATATAAAGAGAGGAAGAGAGAAAGAAAGAGCGAGTGTGCGTGCGTGTGTGTGCGTGCCAACAATTTTAATGAACTGAATCATGTATAATGAATATGTTGTGGTGTATGATGAGTAACACCTTAGACATCTATATAGTAAATCAGTAAGGTCCACAGTAACACACTGAGGAATGAATGGAAAAATTCAGGAAGTAAATGAACATTAATTCTTTACATGCAATCTATGGAGGCAGACTGCTTGCTGTAACATACCCAAATATAGTTTATGGATATGAATTCAACTTATCTAAAAAAATTTTAAATATTCAACAAATATTGCAAACAAGTTTTTCTTTCTTACAATGATTTCTTAAATTCTAAAGCATTACCAGTTATAACATTTTTGAATATATAAAATGTAATGTAAAAACATTGTAGACAACTACACACTAAGGTGATCACATATTTTCAAGAGTAGAAAAGAAGATAAAAAAGTTTAAAAGATTCTCTTTGCCATAAAGTATTCGTTATAATTTTTAAGACAATAAAATGTAACAAACAGTCAGTAAGGTAACAACCGCAGTTCATGAAATAAAAATTACCTTGAAGAGCAAACATTGCAAACAAACGAATTTTTTCACAGAATGATTAGTAGGCGAGAATCACACTCATTGATCATGTACAAACCTGCTACAAAAGTTATTCATTTGTCCTAATGTCTGTCTGTCCTTATTTGCAGACAAGCAAAACAGACAGACAACAAACACACTCAAACACACACACACAGACACACACGCACACAAAGACGTGTACACGCCAAACACGTACATGCATGTACACACCAAACATGAGTATCACAAACACCCACATAGCCACAATCACACGAACAAATAACCATCCAATGTACATAAATTCACATGCAAATATAAAAACACTGGCACACAAATAAATGACTGGATAGTAATATAACCCCACAGTTTCAAATTAAATTTCAGATGATCAATCATACATTGCAGCAGTAACACACTGAAGGTATAATTTATACATCACCAAACTTGTAATTGTTAAACAATTTTAAAAAAAAAAAAATTATTTAAAAAAATGGAATTATATAGAAATTGAAAATATTCAGTAGAAATTTATGCAAAATATATAGAGTATTAATAAAATTAGGCATTAGGGCATATTTTTTAAGAAACCATAATACAGAATTTTGTCAAAATTTTGTAAAAAGTGTGGTCTCAAACTTTTTGAAAACCTCTTAACATGACAAACAATACAGAAAGATTAATTTATAAAAGACGGCTGAATGGATAAAGCATCAAACCAGTTTCATAATCTTATAAATAACCAAGAAAACTTTGAAATATTAAAAAAAATTATAAAGATGTCAAAATTTAAAATAACTCTTGATAAGCTCAGGTGAATAACATCGAAAGTACAGATGATGATAGTAACGACGACGATGAGATGATGATATGATGACTGGCGGAAAAATGTGATGATGTCTAGGAGCAAACTGGTGATGACATCCAAACATGAATTTTTTGTAAAATTAACCATAAAATTAATAAACTGAAATGATTATAATGAAAATGTAAATAAAAATGATAACCAAACTTATTTAATTACTAAGCCTGATGATAAGGACAAGCAAGAACATGAAGATGTGATCATTGGTGAAGTAATGTGATGAAATTGATGAATTGTGGAGCATTATCAACTTCTTGGAAAACAATCATCACATGTCATTTGATATGATATAAAAACACTAAGATTCATTATTGAATATGCAAAGAAAAAGTTGATGCACTAAGAAACATTTCATTCAAGTGATGATGGTATCCTATGAGCCTTCCTTCCAAAACAATCAAGCAAGTAGAAGCATATTACGCACACGCACGAACACACAAACTACACACACACACGCCACACACACATGCACGCACACATATGCACGCCACGCAAATACACAGTCAAACAAAATTTGTTGCTAGTCAATAGTCATTCAACTATTATTTTTAATTGCAACATGAAACTAATGTTAAATTAAATGAAAAAAGACTACATTTAGCATGAAAAACCATTAAACGATCAAACAAATATTGTAATTAATCTTTTTACATCTCATAAAAATAATAACATAATTACATAAAAATAAAAAAAAACAATTACAATTATAAATATTTTGCAAACTATATGGATCCTTAGTAAAAAAAAATGTTAGACCAAAACAATTAGAACGTAATGATTTAACAGAAAGCTATACTGATTAAATTAAATTAAATTAAATGCAGGCTATTACTTTAAACCACAATATACCAACGAAGGTTTAGTAAAATGGACATGACATTAAAAACACTAAAAGTACAGCAATAAACAGCAAAAACACAAATAATAATATAAAGGATATATAACAAAATAATAACATCGCAACACATACAGATATGTACTTTTACATATAGCCATCATTAGAGTTTAAAATTAGTTTTTAAGAAATTAAAAATTTCTAAAAATTAAATAAAAAATAAAATTAGATTAAGCAATTTTATAAATTCACATAAACTGTAAATGTATATTGTATGTGTTTGATTGAATATGGGTAGAGTATATGAGTGAATGTGAGGTCCTGGTTATGACATTAAACTGACCCTCACTGCCTTGTGAGTGATGTTGGATCAACAAAGGCTAGGCCCACCGCTTATAACTGTGGTTGCGTAAGGAAGGACGTCCTGCGTAAAAACTAGCCAAAAAATAATACTTATGATGACGGAAATAACAATGGCCCTCAGTATCCGGCAGAAGAGGGTGCGAAGAATCTCCGGAGACCCAGTCCATGGGGTTGTGGTGCAAGGCCCTGTGGATGGTCTGGCTACTGGCACCCCACTCTATAGTGTGGCGGTGCAAGGCACTATAGATGGAAGGACTACTTGTAGACCAAGGGGTTGGAGGTTTGGTACCTGGAATGTAGGCACGTTGACAGGAAAAAGTTTGGAAGTGGTGGAGGAGCTGCAGAGGAGAATGGTTGACGTGGCTGCATTACAGGAGATCAGATGGAAGGGTGAGGGTACAAGGTTTGTGGGAGCTAAAGGTGGAAGATATAAGTTGTGGTGGAAGGGGGATGATGGTACGGGAGGAGTTGGTGTGATGGTAAGAGAAGAGTTGGTGGAGAAGGTGTTGGAAGTGAGGCGGAAAAGCAATGGTGCAATTGTGGTGGTGGTGTTTGGAAAAGTAATAGTGAGGGTGATATCAGGATATGCTCCGCAACAAAGTAGGAAGGAAGAGGAGAAGGATAGGTTTTATGATGATGTTTCTGACGAGATTGGGCAAGCAGGGTTGGATGAGTTTGTGGTGTTGTTGGGTGATTTGAATGGTCATGTGGGGGCGGATGGAGACGGATATGAAGGTGTACATGGGGGATGGGGATATGGTATACGGAATGAGGAAGGGCGTAGAGTGTTGGAGTTGGCGGATGCACATAGCATGGTGGTGGGGAATACCTGGTTTACAAGGGAACCAGCGCGATTGATTACATATAGGTCAGGGGAGCATAGGTCGATGATAGACTATATATTGGTAAGGGCCAAACATAGGAAGTATGTGAAAAATGTGAAGGCGATACCTGGTATGCTGCAGCATAGTATGGTTGTGATGGATGTGACATCAAAAGAAATGGGAAGGAGGAAGAAGGATAAGTTTGTGGCAAAGAGAAAGACATGGAAGTTGCAGGATGCAGAGGTGAGGAAGGCATTTGAAGTGAAGGTGGCTGAAAATTGGGAGAGTGGTAAGGATGGAGATGGTTTGGGAGGATTACAGGACTGTGTGTTGGCTACGGCAAGATAAAATATGGGAATGGACGAAAGGAAAGTGTAGGCATGGTGAGACGTGGTGGTGGGATGAAGATATAAGAAGGGTTTTGGAGGTCAAGAAGGAGAGGTTTAGGGTATGGAGAAGGGACATGACGGAAGAAGCGGAGTTTGAGTATAAGAAGGCTAAGAAGGTTGCAAAACAGGCAGTGGCAACTGCAATGACGAAAGCATCAGATAGGTTAATGAAGGAAATGGAATTTGATGTGAGTTCGAGAAAAATGTTCAAAGTAGCAAAGCAGTCAATGAGGGATAGGAAAGATGTTATAGGGAATGGATGTGTTTGGGATGGATCTGGCAAGTTGTGCATAGATGAGAAGGAAAAAGCTCAGGTGTGGAAAGCTCATATGGAAAGGTTGATGAATGAAGAGAATGAGTGGGATGGAGATGTGGAATCCGCGGTCACACACGGACCTATTGA